TGCTTAAACCACCAGTGGAACCAGCATAAGCAACCTTCAGAGACCATTGTTGAGATGATTAATAGGCCCAGAGAGATGCAGTATCATGTCATCAAAGGCTCCTCTGGGGAGTGCTGTGCGTGTCCGGATTCCCAATTGCAGGTGTTTTCCTTGTCTAGACTTTTTCCGAAGGGAAGTTAAAATCCCATCCTAAGAAACAATTTCAGAACCATGATAAGGCAGCCCTCCTGGGAAAAACTACGTTTTGGCAAGTGTGTGCCAGTGCACATGGAAGAGCCCATATGAAGGATAATGTCAAGGGCTGCTCCCCACACACAAAATGAAGTTGCTGCTCCAGTGAGTCTCTGGTGATGGGACTCCCCTTGTGTCATAGTCAGTGTCACCAGGGTCATCTGGCATGTCCTTTGCAAATGGATCAAAGTTGCTTCTAACAGAATGGAATTAGATCCTTACTGCAAGGTCATATTACAATTGAGCTATGTTGTAATCTTAATATTTGGTCCCTATCATACTAGAGTCAAAAATACATGTGTTGGAAGTTGATTGTAACTTCCCTGATGCACCTCTGCATAAGGCATCAGCCTTGATGTTGTGTTTCGAAGGTAATTACGCAGATATAAATCATGGGGTCTCTCTCTGTTCCTGGTTTTATGTGCCTTGATACCACCATAAGAGCACACAAGAGTCCTAATCTGGAGGCATCCAAATCTCCAATATGATAATATTTGTAGTTGGGCTCATTCTAATCTCCAATATGATATTTGTCGATGGGCTCTTTGGTTTTGTTTTCCAAAGCTTTAGTACATGTTCACTATGGTCCAAAATATTTATTCTTATTTGCAGGCAGTACATCAGTGCTCTGATGCCATTGTTACAATTTCAGTCTGAGCCTACAGTATTTGCTAAGAGGAGCCACAATGAAAAGGCAGGCAGGTTACATGCAACAGATGCCAGGAGACGCTCCCTAGGGGGATATTCAACCTGGTCATTCTTTCCATGATGTTATTAGCCACCCAAATAAGAATTCCTGTTGTTGTTCTGGAAGCAAATTATTTGGAAAGCAAGCATTTGACTGACTCACTTCTGCCTTCCCCACCCTTCTCCATACCACCTTCTCTACCTCAGCCATGGGCCAATCACGTCTGTTTAAAGAAAAGTTCCCCAGGGCTCCTCTTGCTCTCCTTCCAGCTTCTGGCATGAGCTGTGATGAAGTAGTGGCTGGCCTCACTCCACAGAAATTTTTCACACCATTTCTCATGACCAATCACTGCTTCTGATGGGGAGACACCAGGAGTTGATGCTGGATCAGAGTTCAAGCGCTGGAGGGCACAACAAGATTGAGTCCCTGCCAGGAGCCTCGATGAATCTAGGGAGAGATAGGGAGGAAAGTCCCCAAACTCATTTCTAGAGTCTCATCTCAGATCCTTCCTGATGGGGCCAAGATCTTAGGAAGCCCGGCAGTGGACTTTGCTGAGCTTGCTTTAGATCTTTTGGGTCCCAGCCCCCAGCCTGGTCTTTCCCAGGAGTTTCAGGTAAGTTCATGTAGTCCATATGAGACTAAACTACAATCAAAAATCAAAGACTGGTTGGGTACTAGTGGCTCACACTTATAGTTCTAACTACTCAGGAAGCTGAGATCTAAGGATTATGGTTCAAATCTAGTCCAGGCACACAAATCCAAGAGAATATTAACCCTGATTAATCAGCAAAAACATGGAAGCGGGGATGTATCTTAAATGGTACAGTACCAGCCTTGAGCGAAAAAAGCCAAGTAACATCAGGATGCCCTGAATTCATACCTCATTACTAGCATGCACATGTGTGTGCATGCACACACACACAGACACACACACACAAAATCCAGTGGGATCCTGGTCTTCACTCACTTTCATTGATCCATTTATTTTTGTTGATGTCAAGAGGATTCAAAACCAAAATGCCAGATTCAAAACCCAAGTTTACATTTATTGACATACATGGTTCATGTCACCCTCAGTTACCCACCACTGAGGTAACAGCGAGGCGGGAACAGTAGAGCTAATGTGGACACATCACAGATGCAGATTTACACCTCTGTCTTCTTTCTAACCTGTGGCCTCACCTCCTTTCATCTGCGCTCTTCAGCCCTTATTTCCTTTATTTTATTTTATTTTACTTTTTTATTATTATTATTATTTTGGTCGGTCGTAAGGCTTGAACTCTGGGCCTGGGCGCTATCCCTCAGCTCTTCAGCTCAAGGCGAGCGCTCTACCACTTGAGCTACAGCCCCACTTCCGGTTTTCTGGTGGTTTATTGGAGATAGGAGTCTCACAGTCTCTCCTTCCCGGGCTGGCTTTGAACCGTGATCCTCAGATCTCAGCCTCCTGAGTAGCTAGGATTACAGGCGTGAGCCACCAGTGCCCGGCACATTTCCTTTATTTAAAAAAAAAAATGGCCATTATTGGTGGTTGAACTTAGAACCTTGAAATTGCTTAGGTCTGCTTGCTGTACCATACCTTCAGCATGGCTTTTTGCCAGTTAATTGGAGATGAAATCTAACCATTTTTTGTTTTATCTGGGCTGGCTTTTGAATTATGATCCTCCCAGTTGTTGTCTCCTAAGTAACTAGGGTAATTGGCATGAGCCATTGGCTCTCAGCCTCAGTTTGTCTTTCTTACAAACACCAAACTCCTTGTGTAGGAAACCTGCTGAAGAGCAAGTAAAGAAATAGCTCACTGCCACATACTTATCACAAAATGTACCTCAATCCCAATACTGTGCACTATTTCTCTGCACTGATGATTGAACTGTCTGATAATCAGAGATAATTTTGGTTAATGCCCTCGAAGGATAGATGGCTGGCTGGTTACCTGTCAGTGATAACTGTCATGACAGATATGTTCTGACAACTGCTCCAAAGAGGGAGACACAGATTCCTGGTGCCTCATAAAGGAGCAGTGATATGTACTCTTGGCCGTGAAAGGCAGTTGGATTTTATTAGAGTCAGGGAGAGGAGACAAAGGTAAGGGTGGGTGCACACTCCTGGCTGATGCTAAAACCTGTCTGGATGAACAAATAACCAGAATAAAGGTACATAAACAGAGCACAATGCATTATCTGGGGAAAAGTCTAGGATTCCATCTAGTGGGAACATGAGAGCACATATGTTGCCCCCTGCTGAGCTTCCAAAATGCCTTGCTGATAGAACTGCCCCATGAGCACTTGTGTGAGTAAATAGATACTGTGTGTGTGTGTGTGTGTGTGTGTGTGTGTGTGTGTGTGTGTGTGTTGGGGTGGCAGGGGTCCACTGGAAAGCAGCTAGGAATCCTACAGGGCCACCAGATCATCTTCTCAGGCTGTACTCCTGATATGTGGGATCCAGAAGAGGTGTGACCAACCCCTCCTGGTGATTAACATCCTGGTCCTGGAGAAAACTGAGAGAAGGGGTAAAAGTTTGACAAGAAATGTACTTATTACTTATATAACTGTAACCCCTCTGTATATCACCCTGACAATACAAAGAAGAGGAACAAAAAATGATACTAACTGAAATGAACTCCAAGATATGGAAATGAGGGGGGGGAAATCATCCTGGTCCTGTGGCAATTGTGGATTAAGTCAGAAAGGGGAGCAGAGTTGATAAGACAGAGAGGGAGTTGTATTGTGTATGGACCACAGCTCTAGGCCAGGGCAGGTAAGAGAGAGACAGAAGGGAGGAAAATGAAGGTCAGCTTAGTTCGGGGGGGCCTTAAACTGTATGGAGTGTAGGCCCTCTTGGTCTACAGGTCCTGCTCAGAAAAAACGTTTTTATGTATAACAAAATACATAAGGTGACAAAGGAAGTCTGATAATACTGAAATGAAATGTCAGAATAATAGACAATGAATTTTTGTGATAGTAGTTCACATGGTCCTTCAATAAATTTCAAGTCACCAGTGGTGATCTGCAAACAGCCAAAGCACGAAGGTGATGAGGGGAAACTGCAAGAATATAATATAACACAGTCAGCCCTTTATACTCACAGGCCATGCATCCACAGAGCCAACCAGCTGACACTGAAATTGGTGTTGTGTGTCTACAGATCATTTATGAACTTTTTCTTGTAATTCCCAGGCAACACAGTATGACAAGTATTTACGCAGTATTGACATTACATTCGGTATTCATCATCTAGAGGTAATTCAAATGTATCAGAAGTCATTCGTAAGTTGTATGCAAATGCTGTGCTATTTTCTAGAAGAACTTGAACATGCATAGATTTTTGGTTTCCCTCCTAGAGTCCTGGAATTCAATCCTGTAAGCATATTAAGGGACAAGTTCAGTATAAATATTTCTATTAGGTGTTGCTTCTCTAGGCCTGCTACTGTGGTTTGTCATCTATATTTTTGGGGAGGAGAGTACTGATACTGGGATTTGAACTCTGAGCCTTGTGCTTGCTAAGCAGGTGCTCTACCACTTGAACTATGTCCCTGGACTTTGTGCTTTTAATTACTTTTCAAATTCGGCCTCACGTTTTATGTCTGGTATAGCCTGAACTATGATCCTATATTTATGCGTCCAGCAGAGCTGGGATAATAAATACACACTACCTTGTCTAGGTTTTATTAGTTGAACTAGAGTCTCATGATTTTCCCCCTTGAAATATCATCCCCTTAATCTCTTCCTCTTGAGTAGCTAGGATTACAGGTGTGAGTCATCTTGCCCAATTGTTACCTCCATCCTTATTTGAGGGAAATACTAAATTCTAATTAGTCTTGTGAACTTAAAAATACTTTGCTTTTATTCATCCAAGTCCTTAGATGTCATATTAAAACCAAGACTCTACCTCGACAGGAAATGTACTCATTACCTTACTCATGTAACTGTAACCCCTCTGTACAGTATTTCTACAAAAAAAACACATAAAAAGTCATAAAAGCCAAGACTCTAAACTGAGGTCTAATGATGCTGTCCCAGACCTTCAGCATTGAAAATGTTGTCATTTATACTGATTGAGCTGGTTTTCTTTCTCTGTTCTTTAGCCCTGCATGAATTCCCCAGTGACATCTTCAGCAATGAGGACAGAAGACAGGGAGCGGTAGTGCTGCATGTGCTCTGCGTAAGTATCCTTCCCCTGCCTCTGCCTGGATGGCTCAGAGGGTGGAGGCCCATGGGCAGCTGAAGTGCCCATAGAGACATCTCTCTCCCTTGTCTCTGTTTGGTAAGGGTCCTTGGAGCTCTGTAGGTGATCTCCAAATGCAGTATCTCTTCAAGCCATCAATTCATGACCTGAAAGACATTTGTATTCCCTATGCATTATTGCCCAGCTGTAGACTCCAAAGGCAAAGAGACTTGTTCTCGCCATTTACTCTGAGTCTCTCTCTGCTCGCACCACCCACTTGGACAGTCCTTTTCTAACACACTATTTCCCCTGAATATGCTTTTAACTTTTTCTCCATGTGACCTGCCATTATGTGGTTACTTGTCTGTTCACCTCCCTCACGTGCAAGCCTTGTTGGGAACATAGACTTTATTTTGTTCCTGGCATCAATGCTACTCCTATTCATTTCTAAATCCATGGATTAAATATGATGACAACTAGCGTCGTATCTAGTACAAAGTAGACTATCAGTATGAGCTTGTTCCCTTTGTAATTTCACCATTGCCCCAGTTTCTTGCCTGTGGTCTCCAGGAGTTAGACTTCTGAGTGGCAGTCTGGGGCTCAGAAAAAGCAAGGTACCACAAGCATGGAGGAAATTTCTTGACCATTTGTGACAGCCTTGGAGATTCCACAGTGTCATTTCCATCATATTCCTTGCAGCTACAAGCCCAGTGATACAAGGAAGAGGACACAAAGTTTGTTTTCATTCTATACATGTAGACATGGGTTCTGAGGCTCTCTGGAGACAGATCAGGCATGAGGCTCACTTCTGCTGTCCTTGCTTTTTGTGTGGCTTCTGACAATATGGTTTACCTCGCTTGATCCATAAACCACCTGATCTTGATTCACTTCCAGGTCAAAGCAATCAAATTGTTTACAACCGTTCTCATGGGGTGGGGGTGGGACAGCATTAGATGTCTCCGTTAAGCAAAGACACTCTCTGAGAGTACCAGGTAGAGAGTAACACTGGAACCCTCTCACTCCTCCTTGCCCTTTGAGAGAGGTTCATGCACTGAACAATTAATACAGATGCCACTTTTGGCACCACAGAAGCTTCTCTGTCACTGAAGTGAGGAGTCCCAGGCGCTGAGTGGAATCCAGAATTCCCTGGTAGCCGTTAGCACCCTGCTGCCTTGACATGTGAGATATTCAATTTCTACAACTTGCCCAAACAGTGAGCGCTTTCATCCTCCCAAAGCAGTGCTGTGGCCTGCAGCTAGCATCACCCTTTCTCCTCACCTCACCCCCACTCAGCTAAAGACCAAGTGTCCACATTTTCTTTGCCCTTCATGACCCCAGAATGCCCAAGAATACCTCTGCTGCCTATGCTAGTGTCATTCCACATAAGCATGAAGGAAAACTGGGTAAGAATGGGTAATATGGGCATCAGACACATCCTTACAATCTGCAGGCATCAGTCTGCAGATTAATACTTTGTAGTACCTCATGCTATTAGTCCATAACCTGATCTCTTCACTTTAGAATCGATAGGGCAGATTTTTCCACCCAGATACCCCAAGCCTTAGAGCTATTTACCCTGGCCTCCATTCAGGGTCTACTTCTTGGGGGTAAGAAACTCAGATGAGGCAGGTTTAAATTTGCTGCTTAGGCCTCACATACATATGTATTGTCTAGGGCAGAGACAAGTAGACAAGTAGGAGTGGGAAATGTCTCTCCTATAAACAAATGTGACAGTGGACTTACTGATGTATCCATAGCGTTGAGGCACAACTCTAATCCACTTTAGGCTGTAATCAAGACATAAGCCAATTTGTACCATTTTCAGCACATTGAACAACTCAAGTTACATACTTATTATTTGCACAGTGCAAGATTCATTTTATTCCCTTTACTCATCATGCCGCCCAGCATATTCAAGATGTTCAATGATCATTCAATGAACATCGTTGGCTGTAAGAACTACTACAACAGCAAGCAGCATTTAGGGACCAATGAGAAACAGATGAATGCATGAATCAAAATTGCAAGAAGCTGGGGCTGGGAAGGTGGCTTAGTGGTAGAGTGCTTGCCTTGCATGCATGAGGCCCTGGGTTCAATTCCTAAGCACCACATAAGCAGAAACAAACTGGAAATGGTGCTATGGCTCAAGTGGTAGAGTGCTAGCCTTGAGCTGAAGAGCCAAGGGACAACACCCAGGCCCAGAGTTCAGGCCACACGACTGAACCCCCCCATGCCCCCACCCCCAAAACACTGCAAGAAACTAAGTACAAACTTCCTGAACTCTCCTGTCTGGAAAAAATTTCCTGACCCTGCCCCCCTGCAATGAGATAATGTTATGCTAGATGGTTGAAGCACCCTCCTCTAGTATCTGATGAAGAGAACCACTTGTGGTCAGCATATGCCATGTGCATAGTGCTGGGAATGATCTGTGTGACTGCTGTGGGTGCTCTGAGAAGGTAAAATCTGGAAGCCAAGGTGGCACTCAACCTTGAAGGATGGATAGGGAGGCAGTTTCCAAAGGAGAAAGGAAAGAAGGATGTGTCCAAGCAGTAGTGGAAAATAACTGCTCAAGGATGCATCAGTGTGAGGGTACAGGGTGTAAGAAGCATCCAAGGACAGGTATGCTGGAGAGTGAGTGAAATGGGGAGTTGGTAGGGGAGATGGAGAAGCACTCTGAGGATACTTGCCCGTTAGACAGGGAGAGGAGCATCTTTCTGATCTCACCACCCCCTCAGCTGTCCTCCTTGCCTAAGGTCAGGGGTGGCCAGAGGTGTTCTTCCTTCCTGAGAAAAGCCTCAATGGATAGAGGAAAAGGTTCAGGGCAATTTGGGTAGGGGATCAAAAAGTCCAAGATACTCTGAGGAGCACCCCAGGCCTGGTGAGTATCCATTCAGAAGTGCTCGTCAGAGTGCCACATCATCCTGTCTAGACTCTGAAGGGCCCAGTCTGCTTCATCCAGGTGAAGAAATGATCTTCAACCAGCATGACCTGTCACAGGCTGTTCCCCACAGAATGGAGCATGCACAATGTTGTCACTTCATGGGGCTAACTGGACATAAACAAGCCTTTTGAGCAGTGCCAAGAGTTTTACAATCCTTTAGTGAGACCTGGACCAATTCAGCATTTGCATCCAAACTGTACCTTCCCATATCCAGGAGTTTGCTTTTCATGTAAGGCCTGTAGCTTTCCATCTCAGTTAAGTACAAGTTTGGGGATACAGATGATTCTTGGAACTCCTGGCGCAATCCTCTAAATCTCAGGTGTCCAAACTTGCTTCTGTTTTTCTTTCATGTAAAGGCTTATCTCCATTGTATGTGATTTGTGGAACTCAAATATCCATTTTGAGCTCAACTTGCCAAACACTATAGCTTTAATTTCCCTTTGGATCTTTCTGTTTTTGTGGATAGAATCCCTAATCCCTGAGACTGCACTTCAAAAAAGGGATTCCATTCCTTCCAACACTTCTTTGTGTGTGTGTTTCTTATAAGTGGGAGAGGAAGGGGAGAATCCATGATCTTCATGATTTTTTTCAACAACGAATAGCCTCAAGAAAGCACATTGGTCTTTGAAATTTGCTTTATATCCTATTTTTCAAGACAGTGAGATATTAAAGGCTGGATTTCCTATTGGTGAATAAATTCTTACCCATCTAAACTCATTGAGGCTCCCTTAATACAGAGAGAAGCCTGTGAATAATTTTCTGGAACTGTGATTTGTTTGTGATTTATAAATATCTTGCAGAATTTTGCTAATTACCCTGCATGACATGAATAGCTGAATCCTTGAGATTATCAGCCAAGCTATTTTTTTAATTCCAGTAAAAGAAGCTTTAAATAATCAATATTTGATGTTCTCAAAATCAGTGTGGGAAGCTGACTACTCTTAATAGACCAAACTCCACAGCAGGAATAAATACACTCTCTGCACCTTGTCAGCTTTCAAAAGTGTTTTCCTAAGCTTTGAGGTTTCTTTTTCCACTTTAATGTAATTCCTTTCTTCCAGCTGGCAGATATTTCTGTGCTTGTGTGAATGGTAGTTTTAAAGCATCATAACCTGATAACAAGTCTCTCCTTTACTAAGGCAAATTCTTGTTAAATGAGTTTATTTAGAAAAGGGCTGCTGCTAACTAGTCCAACAACCTCTACCTCTAGTGCTGTCCATTGGCATGCTAGGGAAACCATGATCAGTATGAAGAGCTAGGGGTGTGGCTCAATGATAGAGTGCTTGGTTGGTATGTGTGAGACCTTGAGTTTGATCTCTAGCACCAAAAAGAAGGAAGGAGGGAAGGAAGGAAGGAAGCAAAAGGAATAGAAGGAAAAGGAAAGGAAAGGAGAGAGGAAGAAGGGACGGGGGAGGAAGGGAGGATAGGAGGATGGGAACATTTTAGTGAGAATGTTTCTTATGTGCATCTTCATGTTCTAAAGCTTAGACTTGCTTCAAACAATCCCAGAATTTTCATAGGAAGCTTATGGGTTTTCGTAGGAATGCACCAGGAAGGATTTTTTTTCCTTCTGAGCTGTTAGAGTGGCGTCGTTTTATCTTGGCCTCCTCTGATGTCTCAAAACAGTGAATAGGATACCTCAGCCCTATGGGAAATTCCTGGCCATCTACTTTAGCCCATTCCATCCAGCAGTGGAAACCACCTTGTTCACAAGTCCAACTTCACCTCGACCCAGTCTGCAGTGACCACTGGTGGAATGCATGTAATAAAGGAAGTGGGCTCACGCAGGGTGGGTCATTCTAGGAGACCAGGCATGATACCTGTGCTACCCATCAAGCCAGGACTTGTGCGGATGGAGGCCCTCCCTCCAGCAATGGCAGAGAAGGACTGTTGCTATTTCTTTTGATGTCCCCCTGGGATGGTGTGCAGAGCTGGGTCCCAAGATTGGTGATCTCCCCAGACCTCTCACCTATAGTCCATGTTTTTTTCTCTTCCCCAATCCCAGGGAGCTCAGGAAATTGAGGAAATTTACACTGTGGGCTTATATCCAAATTCT